GGAGGCGGCCGGTGAAGCTCGGGGCGGAGGGAGAGGGCGGCACTCCAGCGACGGGTGGCGCTCGGGAAGGAGTGGACGAGCAGCGACTGCACAATGGGATGGGAGGAGAGGTGTTAGAGAGGACGGGGCGGCGACATGGCCGGCCGGAGAGGAAAAGAAGGGAGGAAGGGCTCATCGACGCACGGGAAAACGGACGTCCAGTGAATTTCCGGTGATGGGAAGAGATGGCCGAGGTTCTCCTTGTCCTTGCGGAGCCGAGGGAGGCGACGGCGTGGGTCGGTGACGACCGGAGCAGCGGGGCGACGTGGCTGGAGTCGGCCAATGGTGGTGGTGGCTCGGGTCGAAGGTGGAGGGGCGGCTGTGGTGGCGATTTGGGGAAATGGATCAGAGGCCGGTGTGCGGCAAGGCACGATGAAGCTTTCGGCGGTGGCGGCGCAGCGCGACAGCGACGGGAGCAGCGGTGGCGCGCGGCTGGAGGCGACGAGAGGCGGCTGTGGCTCGGGTGCACGGTGAAACCGGTGCCCGGGTGGTTTATTGCGGAAGCGGAGCGGTGGACGGGGTGCGGCAACGCGCGACGAGGCCGTTGGCGCAAACGGAGCGGCGCGGGGACGGCGGCAGCGGCGGCAACGGCCGGCTGGAGGGTCGCCGGCGAGCGGCGGCGCTTGGGCTCGCGTGGGGAGCACAGGAGAGGGCGCGAGGAGCTCGGGGAGGAAGGGGAAACGGAATATGAGAGCACGGGGAGGCTTTTGATAGGCTCGGGTGGTGGAGATCGTGGCCGAGCATGACGAATTTGAAGTGGGAAGGGGCGCCGGCGACGTGGGCGAGGTGGAGCTCGAATCGACGCGAAAATTGGGGAAAAGTGGGGGAAGAGGGGGAGGAGGTGGAGGGAAACCGATTTCATGTGGTTTGGGCGCGAGGGCGCGGGCGGGAGAGCGCCGGATTCGGCGGGACGTGGGCGGCAACGGTCGGCATGGCGACTTCGGCTCTAGAGGCCGAAGGTAGAGGAAGGACCTGACAGGTGGGGTCGTCGGGCCCACCTGTCGGCGAGGGAGAGAGGAGGAGACAGTTTGGGGAGAGAAAAAGAACTTGGAGGGGGAGGGGAAACGAGCTGGGCCGACCCGAAGGAGGGAGGAGGGCAGCCTGGCCGGGAAGAGGGAGGGGGATCTGGGCCGAGCCCGAAAGGAGGAAGAGGGAATTTATTTGTTTTCTCTTTTTATTTAATTTGTTAAATGAACTTTGTGTTATTTAAATTATTTCTTGAGCTCCGAAAATTCACGGAAAAATCCGGAGAATATTTTAGGGCACAAAGAATATTAAAAAATATTCTTGGCCATGATTTTAAGGGAAAATTTTTAATTCTCCAATTATTTCACTTGATTAATTTGCTTAACTTTTATTTAATTTCAAGAAAATGCATTATTAAACGATTTTTAATCAGGAACGAAAATCGGGATGTTACAAATCTACCCCCCTTACAGGAATCTCGTCCCGAGATTCTGGGATGGCTAGAAAGAAAGCTGGTGCTAGCGGGCGGTCTGACTGATCTGACTTATCTGCACACTGCACTGTTCCTGATGCTGCTTCTCAAAGCTGAGCTATTGACCTGGCGTCACCGGTGTACCTCAGAATTCAATCAGATAACTTGAGATCGGTGTAACTCTGCTGACACCTTGCAACTAACTTCTTCAAGTACTACCCGGATTGTTGCACTGGGTTGAACCTTCAACTGAAACAGCGATGAGGTGAGCCAAACTCATCTCTGAGACCTACCCCCTTACAGTGAGTAGTCTTACGTAAGTAGTCTTACTTTCGCCTGACTGGGAACAATTGAACTGTTGTCCTTAAAAAAAATAGCCAACACTCGTCGGATTTACAAAAGGCCCTGACTTCGGTGTCGTCCACCTAAATGGATTGTGTAGTTGATATCTCAAAACTGAACTGACCGTCTCGTTGAACAATCTTCTAAGAAGTGACCGGCGCGCGGGAGAGAAAGGTTGGCTCGTAGAGGAGAGAAGTGAGAGAGGGAGAGGGAGGAGGAAGGGAGAGAGATGACGTGGCATCCTGACATGTGGGGCCCATGTGGGCCCCACACTGACTCAACTGCCACATGGGATAAAACTGGGGTAAAAACCGCCGAGGGACCTAAAGTAAACGGTTTTGTAAGTTAAGAGACGTCGGATATCTGGTTTTGCGGTTATGGGACAATTTTGTAACTCGATGACAAGTTGAGGGACCTTTGGTGTACTTTTTCCTAGTTCTAGCCCTGTGCACAAACAGGCCCACGCCGTGGTGTGTCACGGGCCGGATCGTAGTCCGCGTATACATAGCTTTTTTTTTTTCTTTTGTACCTTAGGTTCCGTTGGCCTGGATCAACCATTATGTTCAACCATAAGAACGATTGTAATCAAAGACCATAGCATCGGACAATTATTTCCCGCGTAATTAGGAGGAGTCCTTATGCTTACTAATTTTAATTAGGTCACGACTATAGTACTACAACGGCTTTGCAATTAAATGAACCAATCTATTTCCCGCGCGATTGTGTGCATAATCATAATAACGACCTGCCAATGTAATTGCTGACGTGTGACCAAATCCATTATCCAGTTCTATGGAAAATGTATCGACAACACAAGTTCTTATAAGCTAGCGCGATAAATAATGCGCTGGTGCTGTATACAAGACATTTTGCTGCCTCTCCACTTCCCCAGCCATGTCAGCCAAATCTCACGTAGTCACGTCACGCTAATAGAGAGATTATTTGGCACAGCTTCAGCTTTACCTCTCCTGGAGATAGAGCCCAGTTAAACAGTTTAGAGTGCTCTCACAAAATGAACAATAGAGGTAGAGCTGGGTTTAGACAATTCCACTCCATAACCAACGCTTAGAGAGTTCTACCAAACAGATCCAGAGAAAATGAGGGATAGGGTGGGCACCCATTAGTTTGCATCAAGCATTCCTATTTGCAGTAAGTACAACTTACATCCTTTATCTTTCTATCGAGTTTCAATTGTATCTCTGTACCGCTCATACTAGAAATCTCAACCCCTAACTTTCAAAATCAGATTAAATTAGGTCCTCCAAATATATAGATGACTGGTTTCACTGAAATGGCAATTTGACTAGGTCAATATGGCTAAGTGAGTGTGGGCCCCTGACGGAGCGTGGGGGCTCCTCACCGGGAGACCGCGCAGGCCCCCCTTTGCCGGTTCGGCCGGGGGCCCTGGGTGAGATTCTAAGCTCCTAGTCTGTGTGTGGAAGGTTCGCGAGAATGGAAACACACAAGACACGGGCGATGTATACAGGTTCGGGCCGCTGAGAAGCGTAATACCCTACTCCTGTGTTTTGGTGGATCTGTGTATGAAGAAGCTACAAAGTGCGAGCCAGCCCCCGATCGTTCTGGGATCGTTTTCCTCCCCTCTCTAAGTGGGCAAGGTCCTCCTTTTATACCTCAAGGGGATACCACATGCACCATCTCTCTCTTTTTTGTGGGGACTTATCCTATCTTTTCATAAACAGACGGAGACTTGTATGGTTGCCATCCGAATGACCTTCTGATGGGACGGCCCATACCTACCTCCACTTCCGCCGGAAGCAGGCGCGACGTGGGAACATGGCTGTCTGCTGACGACATGACCAGTGTCAGACCGGTCACAAATCGGTCATTCTTGTCCACCACGCGTCAGTTTATCAATCTGCATGTTCGCCCCTCTTCATACAATATCTTGCTTGTAATGGTTAGGATGAAGCCTGGCATATACCGGAACCAACGTGCCATCTCCAGGAGCTAACACGCCGGCTCCAGCTAGGGACGAGTGCTTGGAGGCTCTCGTCCTGACGGGATGGGGCGAGGCGTGCGTCAGACCGCCTGTCGCCACCTAACCCGCAATCTGACCGGTCTGTGACCAGTCACAGACCGGATAAACGAGCGCGCTGTACTGCATTACGTGTGGCGTGACGTGCTCACCCAAACCGCAATAAATGCGGTTAGGTGAGCCCCGCTGTGCTCACCTAACCCATACACGCGGCGTAAAACCCACAAGGGGTCGGGGCGCCTCGGCCCTCGGGGCCGAGGCGGGAGCGGTCCGACCCCCTCGGGGAGACAAAGAGGAGGGCGAACACATCACCCTCGGGCCCGACGCCCCCCGAGGGTGCCAGGCCACGTGGGCGATTGTGTCTGCCTCAAGCCTCTAGTCATGATACTCCCGGTCCCATGTCACCGACAGCCCCACATGTAGATCTCACGAAAACTATAAAAGAAAAAACCTTTTCTCCCCCATCTCCACATGTTCTTTGTTTTATATTTTTCGTGTGACTTACATGTGGACCCACATTTATTTGGTCGAGTTAACTATAGTGAACTTGCCACGTCAACAAAACCAGTGTTTTGTACTGTTGGAGGACCTAATTTAACCTGGTTTTGTAAGTTGGGGAATAAGATTTCTCGTATTATGGTTCAGGGATGCGATTTAAACTAGATTAAAAGCCTATTTAGATTGGTGCCATTTTGAACAATACCATTTTCAAACACGTTCATTTAGTTTATTGTGGTAATGCCTTAAGAATTTTGGTAACAACATATTTAGACTATCTTATTAAAATTTGGCAATGTTGCATACTTGACAAAAAGGTTTATTGTAGCATTAATCTGAAAAGACAAGGGACATAAATTGGACTATTTTCGAATTTAATGTACGACCTCCCAAGGCCCACAAATTGGTCACGGTCGAGCAGAATCAGATCACGTTCCGGCTCCGATAGCAACGTGACCGTACGGGATAAGAGCACGTCAGAATTGACCAGTTCCAACTTCCAACTCCGATCACTGCCTGGTTCATCTTGGCAATCAAACACGAATCAAAACTTAAACAAAATTGTGTTTCGATTTCCTAAAATACGATTCATATCCAAATGGACGACTTGATTGCTTCGAATTCTAAATTGTAAATGGAACGATCCATCTATGTACTGAGTACTATACTAGTACTCCATATGCTAACACAATTGATTAATCAATTATGGTATATCTAGAACCATATATAATTTTATCTTGTGTCCTTTGTTTCTTTCGAACATAGTATCTCTCTCCAAAGTCCAAGCTGACCAGGTACACACACGTAGAGATTGAGGGATCGAGGCCTCTTCCGTTCGCTCCGCCTCTCGCCGTCGCCGGCGGCGATGCCGAACGCCGGCGCCGCCAGGAGGTGCGGCAGGGCCACGCACGTCGACCTGCTCACCGTCGTCCTCGCCGCGATGCTCTGCTGGGCGTCCTACACCCTGTCGATCTGGCACAACAGCCGCGGCGCCGCGGACAGCAGCGTGCTCGGCCTCGTCGTCGGCGCCACGGTCTGCGGCGACGCCGACGAGGAGCTCGACTTCGAGGCGCGCCACGCCGCCGACGACGCCGGCCTGTCCGTGTCCTCGGGCCCGGCGAACTCGAGAGTGCGGCGGGCGTTGAGCTCGTCGGGGCCAGCGCCCGCCGCGGCGGGGACGACGGTGAGCCGGTACCGCGCCCCGTTCCCGTGGCCGGCGAGCCGCGGCGTGGTTTGGGCGGGGAACTCGGCCCGCGGCGCCAAGGCCGCCGCCGACGCCGCCGCCGCCGCCAACAAGTGGGCGCGCGTCGACGGCGACATGCTCCGGTTCACCGACGCCGCCGCCGTCCGCGCGTACGCCTACGTCGTGCTCCGGCTAGTCGCCGCGCCCGTGCGCGCCGCCGTCGACGTCGGGGCCATGGTGAGTGCCGCCTCGCCCGCGCCCTCGCCCTCGACGTTGTCAACGCATGGTCCTTTCGGATTACGAAAAACTTTAGGGGGTTTTGCACAAAAAGATCTTAATACCGAAAAGGACTCGTTGGAATTTAGGTGATCTAAAAGAGGAGTGATTTGGATATTATCTTTGGCCTGATGCGTATATTCGGATTTCTGACATCAGCTTATGCTTTAGTGGGCGGCCTAATCAAGAAATGGTCGCTGGCAAGGACAAACCAATGTGCACCATAGAGTGATGTGGTCAATCAAAACCGTTGACTTAGATATTTTCCGGTGAAATAAAAACAGTTGAGTAGGTATGCTAAAAAACAGATGAGTAGGTTGGTTTATTAATTTGCATCAGCAATTCAGCATGCCAGCAAACATGTCATTTTCTAATTTGTACAGAAATGTGAATATCAACCTCTTCATTTGGTTTATTCATAAGCATATTTGTAAACAAAAAGTAATTTATAAATAAAGCTTTATATATGTATGTATATATATATATATATGTATGTGTATATATATATATGTATGTGTATATATATATATATATGTATGTGTATATATATATATATATGTATATATATATATATATATATATATATATATATATATATATATATATATTCTTTTAGATCTAAAACAAACGTTGAAAAATAAACTTCGATGAAAAAAAATCTCAAAATCAGTTTTCAATTTAAAATTAAAAATTTAAATTTTAGCTGATCAGTATAAATATAAGCAAAAAGATAAGACCATATACTTGTGGTTTGTTTGTCAACAGAGTTTTCAATATATATTCTGTCTGTTTTTTTCTTTTTTGAACTTGGTTGAAATATTTCCGTCCATGTCAGTGAACCCAGTTACCGACGGTTATTGAAAACCCTCGTTGTCACTTGCCGTCGTCTATGTTTGACTTTGTCACTAAAATCTGACACTTCTGTCAATGGCGAAACGTGCACCAGCATGGAGGGAGCTGGGCGGCGGAGCTGATGTCCCGCGGCGTGGTCACCGTGTCCGTGGCGGCGCCATGGGGCGCGTCCGATGGCGCGGCGCTCGTCGAGCTCGCGCTGGAGAGAGGCGTCCCGGCCGTGCTCGCCGCCGCGGGGGGCGCGCCCAGCCGCCGGCTCCCGTTCCCGGCCGGCGCGTTCGACATGGCGCACTGCGGTCGCTGCCTCGTGCCGTGGCATCTCCATGGTAAACATTTTCCATCCTCGCGCACACGGTAGTTCTGCATCGTCGTTGTTGGCGATCGGTCGCTAATGGCGGCGCGGTGGTTTGTGGGCTCAGGCGGGCGGTTCTTGATGGAGATCGACCGCGTGCTCCGGCCAGGCGGCTACTGGGTCCACTCGGCGCGCCGGCGAACGGCACGCATGAGCGCGCCGCCATCGAGGCCGCCGCGGCGAGCATGTGCTGGAGGAGCGTCGCGGACCAGAACGGCTTCACCGTGTGGCAGAAGCCGGTGGGCCACGTCGGCTGCGACGCCGGCGAAAACTCTCCCCGGTTCTGCGCCGGCCAAAACAAGAAGTTCAAATGGTGCGTGTCGCCGTCGCCGGGAAGGCACTGCTCAAACGCTTCTTCTTCGCCATGACAAACGCTGTGCGATTTCAGGGACAGCGACGTCGAGCCGTGCATCACGCCGATCCAAGAAGGCGCGGCGCCGCCACGGGAAGCCTCGGCGGCGGAGGCGCTCCGTCGCGACAGCGAGACGTGGACGCGGAGGGTGGCGCGGTACAAGGCGGTGGCCACCCAGCTGGGGCAGAAGGGCAGGCTCCGCAACCTGCTCGACATGAACGCCCGCCGCGGCGGGTTCGCCGCGGCGCTGGCCGACGACCCCGTCTGGGTCATGAGCGTCGTCCCGGCGACCGGCGGCGGCGACACGGACACGGACACGCTCCCGGCGATCTACGACCGCGGCCTCATCGGCGCCTACCATGACTGGTCAGCACGAAACACCTCAAAACATTTCAAAATCACATCGAATTTGCATTTTTAATTTTTTCTGTGTCGCCGAGATGAACTGCATTGGCATCTGACATTGCAGGTGTGAGCCATTGCCGACTCCCGCCTTGAGCTACGACCTCCTACACGCCGACTCCCTCTTCACCATGTACAGAGACAGGTGCTTCCTAGCTCATGCCACATCCCTCCATCAAAATCGAGGCAATTCTTGTACAATTTGAAAATTTTTGTTCTAATTAATCTCGTTTTTTTTCAATTGTGATGATTCAGGTGCGACATGGAGGATATCCTGCTGGAGATGGACAGGATCCTGCGGCCCGGGCGCGCCGTGATCATCCGCGACGACATCGCCATTTTAGCAAGGATCAAGAACTTCTTAACTGATCGGATGAGGTGGGATTGCCAGATTTTCGACGGCGAGGATGGCTCGGACGATCGTGAGAAGATCCTGTTTGCAGCGAAGACGTGCTGTAACGATGAGGATCGAGATCAGGAGCAATGAGCATGATCATCTAGGATGACCAAATACAGACAGATGATTGATGATCACATTCATACACTGATACACTGTGTACGCTGTATGACTGATTTGTGATTTGTAAAGCACATAATGTCAGGATGCGCCTTTTTTTTTTCTTTTGGAGCATGACCGTTCATACATACCACATTCGCAATGGAATTGGGTCCAAAATGAAAGTTGAGGATTCAACTGCTATGTAGTAGGAGTTACTGACATATGCGTCCTTAAACAAGTGGGATTCATTCAAGGAGTTGCCTAATCGATATAGATGGCCATATGGCCCGCGGCCCGGTCCAAGCACGGCATGGCCCGACTAACCTCGGCCCAGGCATGTCCGGGCCTGGGCCGTGCTGGGCCAGGTGGCCCATTTGGCCTACTATACTAATCGGTGAGTTTGGATTTGTGCGTGCTCTTACGGTGCTTGATGCCTGCGATATCAATTTTGCTATATATTTGTCGACAATTTTTTCCCCAAAAATTTGACAGATGTAATTACAGTACAATCATAGTGTAATTACACTGTAACTTGTATGTAATTACACTGTAACTATAGTGTAACTTGTATGTAACTTTCAAAAATCTCTCCGTAACATGTTATTTCGGTAAAATGAAGGTCGTGGGAACAAATTCTTTCACATATGTGTGCTATATGATTTGTTTTCTTCCTCACCAAAACAAATCGTGTAATAGATCTAACGATTCAAAATTATGTGAAACTTACATATAAGTTACACTGTAGTTACATATAAGTTACAGTATAATTACATATAAGTTACAGTATAATTACACTACGATTGTACTATAATTACATCTATCAAATTTTTGGGAAAAAATTTGTCGATAAATGTATAGATAGTCCCCTGCGATATTATTCAAAGGACTTGCTCGCAAACGTGTTTGTAATGATTCTGTACGCAATCCGTGCTGACGAAAGAAATGAAACTTTCCAGCGTGTCCTGCAAACTTTCAGTGAGTTTGAGAGAGGTGTGAAGTCCATCCTTCTGAGGGCGAACCTGCTCGCACATGGTGCAGCCGAAGGGAAGTAGTACAATGGAGGATGAGAAGATTTGCCAGGCACTAATGTTACCGTAGATACGCTTTTGAGGTGCTTTGTTTTATAGGTCAGGAAATCAATTCCATTCATTTGAACATGATGAAATCATAGTGATGCAACTCCATAGAGCTTATATGTTTTATTGATGATGTGGCTGGATTGTGTTGTCACAGGCTTTTTAGGCATCTAAAGCATGCAACACTACGGTGTAAAGCATTGCTGGTCTAATGGCATAATTATTTTTGGACAGCTTGCATTCCATTCAAACCAATTTATACTTTAGGCTGTGTTTAGTTCACACAAAAATTGAAAGTTTGGTTGAAATTAGAACGATGTGACCGAAAAATTGAAAGTTTGTGTGTGTAAGAAAGTTTTTATGTAATGAAAAAGTTGGAAATTTGAAGAAAAAAATTGGAACTAAACACGGTGTAAAATCTACACGAGACTGCCATTCTGTCCGCAACCCACACTTGGCTATGCCAGAACGGTAACGGCAACTCGGTTCTGCATGCATCGAATCTCAAGATCGCTAATCACTCCTATGCGAGCAAGGAGAAGATGTTTCTATTCCAAATAATTCAGACAAACGAACAGAATGAATCAATCAAGTGAACTGACTAAACCCCTGGGAGGGTATGTCTGTATAAGTTATATACAGTAAAATTGTATGTCTGTGCATCAAACACTTTCAATAAATCTCCTTAATGTCTTCAGTTTGTTGCGTTTCTACTAAATCTTCAGTTCCCGCAGGTCCATCTCGAGGTAGGAATGCAGCTCAGGTAGTGGCACCAATGGCAGCGTTCATTAGCATTCACCCCTCTGAAGAGCATCGACAGCCCAACGGCGAATCTGCACAGGTCAGCAGCACAATCGTCAGTTCAAACTTGAAAAATTGAATCAAACCAACCATACTGACACAAATGCTATAGCCAGTATTATATACTCCTTGAAACAAAAGGCCGGCAAAAGACTTGCATTAACTGGAGCACAATAAGATATTAGCAGGTTGCATGTTAGGCTGGATTGAGCATGTTACTCCTTGAAACAAAAGGCCGGCAATGGCATGGGGAAAATGATTATCTAGTGCTGCATTGAAATGCTCTATGGATTTCACATGAATCTCTGAACATGGGACAGGCAGGAGGCAACACCAACGGCTCTGCTGCCCGCCCACCTGACTAAATTAGATACCAAACACATTGAAATCTACATGATCCAATGTTATAATAAAAAAAACAGTCTCGATTCTTGCAATTTGCAATTGAGTTTAACTGCTTCAGTTACAAGCAGGATGATGGTGATTGGTATTGCCGTATTGGGCTCCATTTTGTACGGCATAATCAGTGGAAGATCATAACAAACAAAAAAGGTTTTGCTTTGTGAAGACGTAATGCTTAATAAATTGCTTACCCGATGACAGCTAGGACCGAGGCCACGGCCAGCAAGATCCATTGATAAGCCAGGTACTTCTTGGAGGTGTACTTGACAGAGGAAGGCAGGACATATCGCTGCATCCATCCGTAGTGTGGGCGCATCAGGAAGATGAATCCGAGGAGGAACCCAGTCAAGAACCCTCCGATGTGGGCGAAGTTGTCGACGTGAGGGAGGATGCCGATGGCGAGGTTGATCGCGATGACGATCAAGAGCGTCACTAGAGCTGCAGCCTGCATTGCAATTTCGATACATATGAGATTGAGCTACCAGTCGAATGGATGTAGCAGCATGAACAGATTGAAATATGACTAATGTGAGGATGCATGTTTTCTTCTCTGGTGCAGAAAATGTGCGCGAAAATGTCACCTTGTTCGTGTATATGGTCCAGTTGGTGAAAAGCTCCGACAGCATGGCTCCAAGAAGACCAAAGAGAGCGCCAGAAGCACCGACGGAGATGCTGTTTCTGATGAACAGCGATGAAAGAACGCTGCCTCCAATGCCAGAAACAAGGTAGATGATGCCAATTCTCACTGCAAGAAAAACGTAAGTGTCAATTCAGATTCAGATACAGTACTCCACTAATCGTGTCAGTGAATTTTGGAGAGTAATTTTGTACTCAAAGAAAGCTGTGCTTACTGTATCCAAACTGCTGCTCGAGCCTGAGTCCGATGAGCACGAGGCTTAGCATGTTGGCAAGCAGATGAACAACACCGGCGTGCAGCCAGATGCAGGTCACTAGCCTCCATCCCTGATGCTCATGAACAACCTTGTCCCATACCAGTGCTCCCATCTTCTGCAATCTGTGCACAAGAAAACGCTCTACTGATTCAAGAACCATCCCCATATTTCATCACGAACAACATCCCAAGTCTCCGAGAAGAAGGAATAAAGCACTTACGTGGCGGAGGAGGGGCCGAGGAGCGGGTTCTCGGAGAGAGGCTGGAAGGAGAAGCGGCGGAGGAATCCGGCGACGCACGCGCCGCCGCGAGAGGCGTGGGAGGGGCAGTTGTTGACGTACATGGCAACGGCGAAGACGACGACGTTGGCGACGAGGATGGCCGGGACGAGCCACGGCACCCACTCCCTCTCCCCCTCCCGCTGCGGGTACTGCGCCACCGCCGCCGGCGAACCGCACCTCTCCTCCTCCCCCTCCCTCTTCCTCCCTCCCTTCTCCACGTCGTACCTCGCCGCCGCCGCTGCCATGGCGAACCGACCAAGAACCGCTACCTGCTGCTGCTTCGTCTACCGCCGCTGCGTTGCGTTTGCGTTTGCGTTGGTGAATGGTGAAGTGGAAACGGCTGCGAGTGGTGGTGGTGGTGGTGGTGGCGACGCGGGTAAATAAGCGGGCGGGTGGTGGGAGGGGAGGGCGACATGGGGGCGTAGTTGGGGCGTTGTTTCCGGCGCGCGCGTGGGGTGGGAGGGGCGCGACGCGGTTTGGCGCGGACTGGTGGTTCCGTTCGGTTTCCCAGCTTCCGCCGCGCGAGCTGGCACGAGGACGGACGTAGCGGCGGAAGATGCCAGGACGCCCAAAATTAGGGGGGCCTCGTTGTTTTTGCGCAATGCAAGAGCAAGTTTAACAGTACTTCCTCCGTTTCACAGTGTAATTCTAGCATTTTTCATATTCATATTAATGTTAATGAATTATTCTAGCATTTTTCGTATTCATATTGATGTTAATGAATCTTTATATACATACATACATACATACATACATATATATATATATATATATATATATATATATGTGTCTAGTTTCATTAACATCAATACGAATGTGGTAAATGCTAGAATGATTTAGATGGTGTTTGGATACAGGGACTTAACTTTAGTCTCTGTATTTATATACTAATTTAGAGTATTAAATATAGACTACTTACAAAACTAATTACATAAATGAAAACTAATTTGCAAGACAAATTTTTTAAGCCTAATTAATCTATAATTAGAGAATGTTTACTGTAGCATCACATAGGCTAATTATGAATTAATTAGGCTCAATAGATTCGTCTCGCGAATTAGTCCAAGATTATGGATGGGTTTTTATTAATAATCTATATTTAATATTTATAATCAGTGTTCAAACATCCGATGTGATAGGGACTCATCTAAATAGGGTCTTACATTCTGAAACGGAAGGAGTACTCACCAGGGATCACTTCATCCGTTCCGAAATAAAATAATCTCATACTATAGTGTAACAACGAATTTAGACATTATAAAGTTAGTTTATTTTAGTACGAAGTGAATACTATTGAGACTTTCAGATGCAACGATGGTTAAATGCATAGGAGGGGATCCTTGGTCTCGGTGCAAAACGTAATACGACTTAGACTTCGGATGGTGGGATTATTAGCTCATCTTACCGCTAATATATATAATGGATTAGTTATAAAGTTGGTTTTAATTTTTCTCCTATTCTCTCTTTATTTTACTTATACATTTAATACATTTGTCTTGGAGTACATATTAAGCTATCTCTTGCATAAGAGCCACCCCTTTATTTTCTGTTACACATTCCTCCATTTAAGTTTATAGTATTTTTTATATAGCTCACTATTTTTCTTGCTCTTTTTGGTAGTTAATTAATGCTTTATAACCACATTAATCAACAGTTGATGATGCTTGGGAGTACCTATATATCTTTCGAAAGATTTTCATGATCGTATCACACAGATTTTTAATCTTTGGATTAAAATCCGATAGATATAATAAAAAGCAAAAAGCAATTAAGAAACACCATAATGGACACTAAATTACCATATCCTCAAGAAAAAGACCAAATCCAATACAAAATTTAAAATTTACATGCGAAGATTCAAAAATTACAGTGCAACTTACAAAAGTTACAGTGTAAGTTTTATAAATTACACTGTAACTTATAAGAAAATGCACTGTAAATTTGAGTGAGAAAATCGAGTGAGAGATAAGAAAAAATCTTTCGAGTGAGATATAGCAAAATCGATGATGCTTTACTCCTTTCCAGGCTGTCAGCACCTTACTTTTTTTTTTCCGTTTTTGTCACTTGGAAAATCGATTCCTGCCATTCTAATTTACGCGTGATTTTCCTCTTGTGTTCTTATCTCCATCTCAATGGTTTACACGTATCTGTTTTTTTAACAACATTATTTTTTTAATCTCAATACTATTACTGTAAGAGTCAAAATCTTAACGTAAGTACTGAGACGGTCACCATGACGACGGTGACACTGCTGATCTTCTTTTTATTTCTTTTTGAAAACTACACTGCTGATCTTGATTCTCATAATTTTGATGAGGTTCGTGTTGCCAATACTAACATCTTTTGACATGAATATCCGATGTAATTTTTAATCCATAATTTTATGAAAATAAAAACAGTTCGCCTTACAGCTTACATAGTGAAACAAGCAAAAAAAAAAAAATTAAAAAAAATCAAATTTAGGACCTAATCTGACATCCAGTTGACTCCCCACCCACGCGGCCGTCACACGGCGCCAGCGCCACGCGGCCCAGTGGAAACGGACCGGTTGATTCGGCCGGCCCGCTGTGCGCGCACCACATGACATGGCCCAGGCCCAGGCGGACCGCTCGATCGCCTGACTGACAAGGCGATGCGACAGAAACACCGGAGCATCACGCCGGCGGCCACGAGAACTCGTCCACGGCGTCGGCAAGGCAGCGGCCGCGGCGAGAGGGCTTGACCGGACACCAGCGGCGAACAAGATCTAGACAATAGGCATCTGTCAGCCAGCTACTACACGCCTCATCGTTTGGCCTAAACAGCCAAAAAATAATCCAAAATTTAAATTTTTGAATTTAATTTTAAAGTTAATTTGAATAAGCTAAAATTTAAATTTTTGAACTTGATTTTGAAGTTGATTTTGAAGTTAATTTTGAGATGCTTCTAACATAATTTTTTTTTGTTAATGATGGCTTTTAAGTCGCTATAAATAAATCTATAAAAGTTTTACTTATAAATTAATTTTTATTTTTTAATAAATAAAATGGGCAACCGATCGGAGCCTACCACTGCTCGCACAGAGAAGCAGCCATCCCATCGGAGTTTCATCAGACTGGAGTAGTACTCATCATCATCACTCGTCGGACATGCTACGTGCCGTGCTTGCTCTCGCCGCTGTCACCATGTCACCTTCTAGCTCGTCCCAATCAACGGCGGTGACTGTCGTCTGTCTGCGATTATCGCCTGCATCATTGGCATTTTTGCCTATACTCCGCCTGCCTGTCATCTCTTCATTTCTTGATTTCTTCCTCCCGTAATGATTGCCGGTCGTTTGATTGTCTCGGCCTTGACATGATTTTCAACGCTGGTGATTCGCCCACCCATGATCCGTGGATCGAATAATTGAGCTTGGATGTGGACGTTTGCTGGCCTTTTGTTCCAGTATTCCCAACTCCCAAGTGAATATAAGGTCGGTTGTGACATATTTTATTACTATAAATATATATATATATATATATATATATTGAGATTTATAGTATTAGAATGTATCACATTCGCTACGGCTTTTCATGGAACGGATGGAGTACGAGGAGATCATCATCTCCGAGATTTACCATGATTCTTGGAAGCTTAGGCACAAGAAAACATTCTCTTGCCCGGCGAAAAACAAAATAACATTGATCGAGTTTTGGTACTAGTTTATATACTGTTACCGCGGGAAAAAAATAAAATCACGTCAGTGATTAGCATTTGCCAAACTGTAATTCTTCCGCTAACAAAAAATGGTTCAGCTATATAAGGTTAACGTTTTCGACGAAAACTGATCGAAACCGCGAGATTTTAATATATAGTGAAAAAAATATTCCGTGTGATAATTTCAAATGGTTTTTAGAATTCAAAATCAAACGATAAATTTGGCCAAATTTTAATCAAAGTTAGTTAAAAATTGACGAAAACTGCCATACCACCCGAAGTTAAGATCTGAGGATCAAAACACATGTGCAAGTACAATTATAGTGTACCGTTCTGGAAAACCAACTTCTACAGATGAATTGGACAACTGATATCCAAATTCACTCTCGGAATTATTATTTTTTACAACGGGGGTATACGTGTGGCTATGTGAAGTGGTGTATATGCACGTGTGTCTTCCTGTTTGGTATGGTTTAGGCTGCATTCTTCATAATTACTCCAACTGATTTAGGTTTTAAGACTTTTTATCATTGTTCACATTCATATAAATGTTAATGAATCTAGTCACACATATATGTCTAGATTCATTAACATATATATATATATATATATATAAACATATTGTCCTATAATATATGTTAATATATATATGTTAATATATATATATATATTAACATATTTATTAACATATTGTCCTGTTTGGTATGTGTGTGTGTGCAATGCTAGAAATTCTTATAATATGAAACGGAGGAAGTAGCTGGGAACTCATCTCCACGCATGCAACACATAGCAATTTATTAGCACACGACTAATTAATTGTTAACTTTTTTAAAAAATAATTAATGTAATTTTAAAGTATTTTTTCTAAAAAGATTGTGAAATATATATCGTTTAATAATTTCGGAAATAATTTGGGAAGTGTGCGCATGTAATGAAGCTGGGAACGTGGAGTAAACAGTAAAGGGGACAGCCTTACTTGGGCCGGGGGAGCGGGACGCGCGGACCGGGCGCCACGCGCGCGCGGAGAATTCGAGCCCAAATCCAATCGCGGGCGAGACAGACAGCGGCGCGGAACTCCCGCATCGGTGGCAGTCGCGCGAGCGCCACCTATCGCCGCTTCGGGCCGTCGGATCAGGAGGCGCGGAGCATCGGACGGCTCTGACCGTGTGGGCCCCTGCGCGCGGGTCCCGACGGTGGTGGCAATGATTAGGCTCGCACCTGCGGGGCTTTGACTGGAGGCCCCCCCCCTCCTCGCCCATGCCCAAAAATTCTGGATGGGGTTGCTTTTGCGCTGTGCACCCTGGGAAATTCTGATATTCTACTGTAAAATGTTCCGCTGCTTCCTCTTGTTACTGTATGGATTATACTCCCTACACATGACAATCTAGGATGGAATGAGTTTGCTGCGTATTAGAACAGAGGAAATAGTTGGTTTCTTGCTCATGAAAGTGGTCTACCGATTTATTTAGTGATTTTTTTGTAAGTTAGCAATATTTAAAATTTTGGCATTTTTTATGCACTCCCTTGGTCCCATAAAAAACGAATATAGAATCAGATATGACATATTCTAGTATAATGAATCTAGACATATATATATATATATATATATATATATATATATATATATATATATATATATATATATATATCCAGATTTGTAGTACTAGAATGTGTCATATCCAATATT